TACTACTACTCCTACTACTCCTGCTGCTGCTGCTGCTGCTGCTACTGCTGCTACTACTGCTACTGCCAGACCCTCAAGCCCGCTGCTTCACACGGGCAGTTACCCATGCACCAGGACATGCCGTTGGCGTGCTCAGATAACGAGTATCCATGTGCAGAGAAAGGCTCCGCCGAACGTATTTTGGGCCTGAGGGGTCGGTTTCGCCGCCACTAAGAAGGCCACAAAGAACCATCCACGCATGCACGAACATCACTCAGAGTGCTCTGGGAAGATCTGTGTGGGATGTGGAGGGCAGGAGCTTCGGCCTTGGTAATTACACATATTATTCCTCAGGGTGGGCTCCTTATTCTATGATTATATGGGAATGAACCCCCGAGAACCGATTCTAATTACCGTATGACATCAGGCGCAGACAGCCCACCAGTTTTGAGCATCGCCGTGTCTCCATGCCGCTCTTGGTGCTAGCATCCTAAGAGCCTTAGAGGCCAGACTAGACCTATCATAGCCTGTTGTATGAGGGCTTATGACATTGTCGTGGGTTGTAGTATATTGTAGTTTATCATAGTACACTGTAGTACATTAAATAAGTTATCTAGCATGTTATCGTATATTATAGTAAATTATCGTATATCACAGTGCATTGCATAAAACGTTCTAAACCTCACCAGTGTTGCACTCCCTGGTGGCGACCGAAAGGTTCAAACTCCTGTAAGGGGAGTTTCCGAAAATTAGGGGTACCTTACTTGGGGTCCTTATAATAGGGATCCTATTATTTAGGGTACTATATTAGGCAAGCCATGCTCCACACGGCGTTGAAATTCCCAAGCCGAGACCATCTAAGCCCATGGGACGAGGGTTTAGGGCTTAGGGAGTTTAGGGTTTAGAAGCCGAGTTCAGGGTTTAGGGTTTAGGGAGTTTAGGGTTTAGGGTTTGCCTTTGCCTCTCTTGAAAAGCTAGAGAGATCGATGCAATCATACTGCTAGAGGCACTTCAGAGAGACCTCGTTCAAAAAAGGGTTTAGGGATGAGACTTAAACATCCGGCTAAAAGCTCCCCTGCTCTATGCGCCGACCTGCCGTGCCCCGAATTTAGCTCTCAGGGTAAAGCGTTTATATCCAACTCCTGCATGTAAGGGAGCTGTATAAGATGCCTGTCAACAGTATAAGTCACCCGGAGCACAGGAACCCTTCAATCCAGCTCTCTGACCATTGAGAACCCCGACAAAAAACCATTGCGAAAGCCTAAGAGACCGTCGTCAAAACCGAAGCCCTTGACCCGAAACCCTCAGCCCTAAACCCTCGTTTAACAGAACCCGGCCCCCTGCGCTCCACCGAGGATGGAACGCGCGACGAGGTGGGGGGCCACAAATAGACGACGAAGTTCAGAAGGGTGCAGGATTTGGGTTGTTTACGTATGGTCTATGACGGTTTTGGGGTCTTCCGGTTTTGCGTGGGGTTTATGATTTAGGGTGTGGAAGTAATGTTCGTTGAAGGTGGGGGGCGCTTGGAACCTGGAGGTTGGGAGTTTCGGGTTTCGGTTCTATGCTTGCGGAAGTGGCATGCAACGGACAGAGGGCTAACATGTTGCGGGGCATCACATTCTGAGCTTCGATGCCTCTACACTATTTCACTCCTTCGGTGTTGCCAGCAGTGTCTGCTTCTAGCAGTCTAGCAGTTTGACAAAGGGTGGAGGTTGAACGTTACTATGAAGGGCTCATTTTTTCTACACCGTGGGAGGCGTCAAGGAACAGTCGTACGAATCATCGAGGCTCCTGAAGGCCACGACTGGGGTCGAGAAGGGAGCCGCAAGCGGCATGGTATTGGGGGCCACACCGAAGTTTAGTTTCGGCGAGGTTTTGCCCGTTATACGAGTCTGCTTCTAGCAAGTGCGAAGCCTCATCCACAGTCGCACAGACAGGCCTTCTTACTGTCGGTCGGTCGGCCAGTAAGTAATGTTGGTAGGTACGTCATACACACCCGTGTGTGCGTGCAGCTGAAAATTACTTTGCGTGTAGATCGCGCACACGTAGCCGATGTAGCCGAGATTGCGTGAGCCCTTTTTCTCCGCCAGTCGCACTGCCGTTTCGCCGTGGTGCTGCCGGCTGAGCTTCGTTTCATACACTAAACTCAGGGTTTGCCTCTACCAGGAACCATACCGTGAACCTTGAAACTTGGAACTGTTAACTTGGATCTTGAACCCCAAACCTAGAGCCTGAAACCTTAACTTCTTTAATCCTAAAGGCTTCAGGAGCTTGTGAGAACTGCAGGGCCCATGCGGGAGAGTGTTCCGATCTTCTTTTAGAAGCATGCGCTGTGCCCTAGTGGACCCCTCCACCCACCCGAACCCCTCCCTGCAAGCACGATAGACATTGAAGATCATTGAAAGGTAAAATCCCAAACCTGTGATCTTTTAGAAGCAGGTCCTTCAGGTTCTTGAAAGAGTTCTCCCACCACCAAGTCGTCGCTCAGCGTAGCCATTTAGACCTTTATATGTGAGATTTTGACGTACTTAGAGCATCAGGGGACTTAGTAGACAGGGTTATGAGTGTTGTAGTTGGAATGCAGTGAAATATAGACATAGCTATATAGGTAGTTTTCTAAATTAGGGTCCCTTTTTGGGTCCCCAATATAGTACGGCACCCTTATAAAAAGGGCCCCCAAAATGACCCTAATTTAGAGAACTACCCATATAGTAAACCATGTTAGACTTGCGTACCCCGTCCCCTGGCTTAGGAAGCTCCTGACACCCTAAGCGCCTAAGCCCTAATCCCCCAAACCTCAACACCCTAAAACCCTAGACCCTAAGGGAAAAATCCCCAAACCCTAAACCCTAAAGGGTAAAATCCCCAAACCCTAAGCCCTTAAGGGAAAAATCCCCAAACCCTAAACCCAAGGGAAAAATCCCCACACCCTAAACCCTAAAGGGAAAAGTCCCCAAACCCTCAAACCCAAAACCCTTGACTCCAGATGGGGTCTGGGATTTCCTGGTGTCGGATCCAGGGGTTTCCCAGCGTTCGAAGCTTTCGTGCTTTGAATTTTTAAAGAGGGGACCCACGTGTGATAGACTTGTGAGGATTTGGGGTTAAGGCGTAGGGTTTAGGGCTTAGTGAGGAGGTTCTCAGAAAGGGAGCCTATGTTACGGCTGTTGGAACAACTGCTTTGAACAAGCCGCAACGTGAGAGGTCGAAGGATGTTCTGTGAGAAAAGGCGCTGTTGGAACAACAAATGACAGAGGGCCTCAAGGTTTAGGAGTTTAGGGCTTGGGGCGCAGGGTCCA